GGCTGGGAAGCAGGTCCTCACCCACTATGCGACTGAGAGCATAAACCAGGGCCAGCACCCAGGCGGCCGGACCAGGATGCAGCCACGGGCACAGGCAGTAAGTTTGGGTGGATTGACAAGATATTTGCCATCTCAACCATTTAATGTCTCTGTTTCTGTGGCATCAATTACACACGACATGCTGTTCAAACATCGCCACTACTCGTCTCCCAATGTTCCTGTCACCCTAACAAACGCGGGGAGCACCTGCGGCATGCGGGTAAGCACCCAGGTCCCGTCACCCTAACAAACCCGGGGAGCACCTGCGGCATGAGGGTAAGCACCCAGGTCCCGTCACCCTAACAAACTCGAGGAGCACCTGCGGCATGCGGGTAAGCACCCAGGTCCTATCACCCTAACAAACCCAGGGAGCATCTGCGGCATGTGGGTAAGCACCCAGGTCCTGTCACCCTAACAAACCCAGGGAGCATCTGCGGCATGTGGGTAAGCACCCAGGTCCCGTCACCCTAACAGAAACTCGAGGAGCACCTGCGGCACGTGGGTAAGCACCCAGGTCCCATCACCCTAACAGAAACTCGAGGAGCATCTGCGGCATGTGGGTAAGCACCCAGGTCCCATCACCCTAACGGAAACTCGAGGAGCACCTGCGGCATGTGGGTAAGCACCCAGGTCCCGTCACCCTAACAAACGCGGGGGGTACCTGTGGCATGCGGGTAAGCACCCAGGGGCTAACTGAGAGATGGGAGGTTTGAACCCACCAGCCACTCCAAGGGAAACGTGGCAATCTGCTTCCTTCGAGAATGACAGACTTAGAAGCCCCCTGGGGCAGTCCCACTCTGTCCTCTAGGGCGCTGCCCTGGGAAGCACTAACTCTGGTCTCTACATCCACAGGAACACCCTTGGGCCAAGGGCCTGTCGCAGGTATTTCCTGTGAGCAGGCTCACACAGCGTGTGGCCGTCTGCCTGACCTCCTTCACTCAGCACAGCAGGTTCATCCACGGTACAGCGTGTATCAGGACCCCGCTCCTTTTCACCACTGACGAATATGCCAGCAAGAAACCTGAAACGCCTCCGAGTCCAGCGACAGAGGAGTGACCACGTGACTGGAGCCCTCATGGGAGGGGCAGCAGGCAGCCTGGGAGCGGTCAGCAGTAAACAGGTGTGTGCTTACGTAAGCATTTCCATAAACTTCCCAGGAGAGTAAGAGAAAACGACTCACACCAATAGGACAGTGGTGGTCCCTTCCCATGTGGGAGTCCCAGGTTCAATTCCCGGCCAGCACACCTCATGTGCAGCCACCGCGTCCGTCGTGCAGGCTTGAGTGTTGCCTGTGATGCTGGGCAGGCGTGAGTGGAGCTTCCAGACTAGGAGGGACTAGGACTAGGACTAGGCCTGGCATGGATCAGAGAGGTCCAAGCCCGCTGCACACTGTTGCGATAAGTCGGGGCTGACTCAATGGCAGCTGACGGCAGCGAATGGCGATGATTTGGGGGACTTGGGAGCTGGGTGGCAGGGACGGTTCTTGACCTGGAGACACTCCTGCCCTGTGTGAACCCCGTACAGTGAGCTGAGTCCTGCCTGGAGGCCCCACACAGGTTATAGGAACTCGGATCCTAAGGAGTCACTGCAGAGCTGACTCTGGCTTCCCACTGAAGAGGCCAACTCGGGTCTTGAGGCGCTGATGAGCCACCTCGAGGCTCAGACAGTTGCACCTGCAGCCCACGTGCTCCCACCCCACCCCAAGCCTGCAGTTCTGGGCGGCAACAGGCCGTGCACAGCTCACGGTTCCCAGCCCCTGTGCCTCCCTGTCTCACGTGGGTTTGTGTTCGTGCCACCTGTAAACACTTGTCACAAGTGGGCTGTGTGAGCAGAGTTTTCAGTGTGAGGACGTGGCCGTGAGGAAAGTGAAGGAGTGGTGGCAGCAGTGACACCCTGGGGCCTGTGGACAGCTGTACAAGTCACGCCAGCTCCAGAGACAGCTGGGCCTCCATAATGGAATGTGGTAGTGTGTTCAGGGCACGTGCAAAAATGTCCCCCATGGCCCAATGCTAGAAGGTTCTCAGGCCACACAGGACACAGCATCACAGGGAGACTATGCCCCAATAACCAAACCAAAACCACACTTACTGCCATCGAGTCGACCCCGACTCATAGCAAGCCCTCCTTGGGTTTCTGAGGTGGTATCACTACGGAAGTAGATTGCCCAATCTTCCTTCCGAGGAGTGGCTGGTGGGTTTGAACCACCAACCTTCTGGTTAGCAGTCAGATGCCTAAGGCACTACGCCACCAGACTTTAAAGCTGGGATGGGCAAACTATGGCCAAAACCATGCCTGCTGAGCACAAGTGAGTGTTGACATTTTACAGGGTGGTTACAGAGGGACACACGTACACGGCCCAGAAAAAGCCTAAAATGTTCACTTCGGCCCTTCCCAGAAAAGTGTGTCCAACTGCTTTACATCCCAAAGCAAGCACACACAGCCAAGTCACAGCTAACAAGGGAGGTCAGATGTAAGCAGGAAACCACCGAACAGCCCTGAAGAAACTAAACAGTATGAAAAAGGGACCAAGCAGAGGAGACAGAGCAATCAACAGCCAGACTGGAGGTGGCACGAGCCCTGTCGGTAACCACACGGACTACAAGTGCAGCAGTGCTTCAGCCCGGCCCACGCCCACCACACACATGGCAGGGCCGCACCACCGTGCTCCGTGGGGCCACAGCAGCTGATGGCCCAGGCCGGCCCACGCCCACCACACACACAGCAGGGCCGCACCACCGTGCCCCGCCACCACACACACAGCAGGGCCGCACCACCGTGCCCCGCCACCACACACACAGCAGGGCCGCACCACCGTGCCCCGCCACCACACACACAGCAGGGCCGCACCACCGTGCCCCGCCACCACACACACAGCAGGGCCGCACCACCGTGCCCCGCCACCACACACACAGCAGGGCCGCACCACCGTGCTCCGTGGGGCCACAGCGGCTGGTTTTCTGGAAGCAGCCGGCCAGGCCTTTATTCCTAGTCTGAGTCTGGAAGCTCCACTGAAACCTGCTCACCAGCACAGCAGCACACAGGCCTGCCTCCATGGACAGACGGGCAAGGGCAGTGCGTGAGGTGCACTGGCCGGGAAGAGAACCGGCGTCTCCATCACGGAAGGTGGGGATTCGACCACTGAGCCGTCAAAGCCTTCAAACACCCTGCATGCCGACTACGACAGACAGACAGTGTGGACAAAAATAAAGAAAACAGGCAACAAAACCTATTTTTCAAATTCCATGTATCAGTCCCTTTGTAAAAATGAATAACCGCCTCCATTTTACCAAAACATGGCTTTTCACAGCTGCCGCCTGCTCGCCGTGAGCTACCCACGTGGCAACAAGGCACTCATGGCAATGGGGAGGCCCCCGGGGCTGGGGTCGCAGCATTTCCCACTCTGAGGGCGGCTGAGGGGACGACGCACAACCACACTCCCACCGCCCCCACCACTGCGCACCCTCTCACACAACTTCCTCCCCCCGAAATGCTGAGGGAGGTGGGCCACTACACCCTCGGTTACGAGAAGACCTGCAGGGTCCACTGCCTCGGTCCCGGCATCGCAGGCTTACCCAGAATCCGAATGTGGGATGGGAGGTGGCTGTTGATCTTCTCCAGGATGTCCTCAATCAGCCACACCTTCAGGGACACGACCTGGCCTGCAGCAGACACACCCTGTGAGGAGCCAGAAGGGCCAAGGGGATGCACTCAGCGGGGCTCTCACCAGAGTGGCTCACAACACCGCTGGTGCCTATGGTGAACACACACTACTGCTCGCCCAGCGGCTGGGGGTTCAAGTCCACGCAGAGGCGTTTTGGAACAAAGGCTTGGCAGCCCTGTTCAGAAGGAGCCCTACAACGCCTGTTCTACTCTCACACGGGGTCACCTTGACTCAGGGGCAGCTGCAGGGCAGCCCTGTTCAGAAAAGTCTGCCACCGGGAACCCTACAGCACCCGTCCTACTCTCACATGGGGTTCCCTTGAGTCAGGGTTGGCTGCAGGGCAGCCCTGTTCAGAAAAGTCTGCCACTGGGCAATACAGTACTGCGTTGTTAGTGAAGGCAAACATGGCTAGACGGGTGCGCAGGCTGAACGATTAGGTCTGCCTATGAAGTGGGGAATGTATCCAAGAACATGTATATGGTTGGCAGACAATGGTCCTATAAGTTTACGTGAATGATCAGAATTCCCAGCTATATAGTAGAGCTGACAAGAGGCAAGGTTGTGGTCACTGCCTGGTCGCAGCCAGCTACCCAGAGGGACCGAGTAGTTGAACCTGTGGGCTTGGGACCATAGTTGCAGGGGACATCAACCTCAATTGGCATAACATACTATACAAAACATTGTTCTACCTCCTACCTTGGCGAATAGCAACTGGGATTCTTAAAAGCTAGCAAGCTGCCAACTAGATGCAACGATGGGTCTCTCGTCATCCAGAGCAAACAAGACAAGAATGAAGAAAACCAAAAATTCATGGAAACAGTTAGTCCCAGAGACTTGTACACCATCCGATCTGCAGCCTATACCACTATGAGACCAGAAGAACTAGATGGTGCCCGGCTACCACTGTCATCCACTTGGAAGGGGATCTATGTAGGAAATCCTTGATAAAGAGGGAGAACGATGTATAACAAAACTCAAAATCATTTGGAGAAAAAAAAAAGGGGGGGAGGACCAGGTTTGCTGGTCCAATAGATCCTGGTGGAACCACTAAAACTACGGCCCCTAGCTGCACTTCAGGCCTGGAATTATATCCACACCTATGGTTTCTGCCCAAAGAAAAGACAGGCATACAAGTTGAACATTTACCTGATACACTCCATGGAGAGAACAATCATGGGAGAAAGAAGGGCTGCTTATGCACAGGGAGACAGCTCAGGGGGCAGGAATGCATGAAGGGATGGACCTAGGGAAGAGGTAACTACGGGGAGGAAGTGGGAGGGCAGCTGTTGCATTGTAGTAAATTGTGGTCAATGTCGTGAGATAAAGTGTATGTGAACTACTGTATGGAAAGTGAATTTGCTCTGTAAACTTTCACCCAAATCACACACACACAAAAAAGTCTGCCACTGGGAACCCTACGGCGCCCGTTCTCTCACAGAGGGGTCACTATGAGTCGGGGTCGGCTGCAGGGCAGATGGCACAAATAGGTTCCGCTTTGCAGCTGCGAGTCCTGCCTCTAGGCGTGTAAGGGGGTGGGGGAAGCAGACGAGGACAAAGGCCCTGCACGAGGGCAGCGTGACAAGGCCCCGCAGAGGGGGGAGTGACAAGGCCCCGCAAAGTGGGGAATGACAAGGCCCCGCAGAGGGGAGCGCCACAAGGCCCCGCAGAGGGGAGCGCCACAAGGCCCCGCAGAGGGGAGCGCCACAAGGCCCCGCAGAGGGGAGTGGGGAGCGCGACAAGACGCACTAAAGCCCGAGACACACAGCAAGAACGTGAGGGCGCCGTGTCCCCTCACAGGAGGAAACCCAATCCTACTGCTGCAGGGCTCCCGCCGCATGGGAAAGGTGCACCGAAGGGACAGAGCTGAAAGTCAAGCAAGGATAAGGCGACTGTCAAAGTCACAGCTGTGAGTGCCTGGGGGACAGGCCAGGAGCCTGCAGGGAATAGGGAGCTGGCAACCTGGGTACACACACGGGTAGCGCACTTGACTCTACTGTCTGCCCAGGTACGTTCGTTCCTTCTTTCAGAGCAGGGTTTACCTGCGTGGACTCAGTAGTGACTTCTGGGGAGAGGTGTGATTCAGAAAGTGGCAGGTAACTGAGGGGGCGCCAGTCACATCCATCTCCTGATCCGACTGGCAATGCCCAGGGGTCACTGAGAACAGTCTGCCTCACTTACAGCTATCTACACCCACCCGTCCACGTGCCACACTGGTGGTATTTACAGGTTTTGAAAACACGTGCAAAGAGACTCTGGCACCACTCACGTCCCCACACAAGCCTCCCTCCAAGTGCGGTCAGAGCAACGGGGCCCTGCCCAGCCTGAGCGGTCTGAACATAACCGTACGGGGACAGCCAGTACGGGGGGGACACCAGACACGGCAACCACACGACCAGTGGTCCTGGATTAGATCAGGGGTCAGACAGGATCCCCACTGGCAGAAAGAAAACAGATGACAATGACCCGTCTCTAGTCACAGTGGACGTTAAAATGACAGGCACACGAGGGCTGGTCTCAGAACCACCCCTACTCCCCTAGCCGAGGGCGAGCTGAGGGCCGGTCTCAGAACCGTCCGTCCCGCTCCCTGAGCTGAGGGCTGGTCTCAGAACTGTCCCCGCTCCCAAGCTATTTTTCTACTGCCACGGAACAGCTGAGAGGCCAGACGGCTCTAAACAGCAGACCGAGAGCCAGAAAGGAGCCCGGCTCTGAGCCATCAGACAGAGTGGTCACTGCCAGCTGAAAGGGCCCTCGTGCACCACCCCACTGCCCATCTGTGGAACAGTTCATGCCTTACTCAGATTCCCAGGGGCCTTGGCCATAAGAGTTCCAGCTGACAGGATGCCTGGGACCCCCACTGGCCAGGTGGTGCCACACGGGGCCAGGCTCAGGAAGGAGCCAAACCACTTGAGGTTTGTAGGTTGCAGAAACAAAGCATACGCACTCGCTCTCGTTTTTCTGTCCACCACCCTGCCCCTATGGATTCCAGACCTGGCACGGGGCATGGAGTGACCACTCTGCACAGCCACCAAGCTGGCCAAGGACTGCACTGGGGACAAGTGGACCTGCCAGCACTGAGCCACCAGTCCCTGCAGCTAAGCGTGAAATGGGATCAAAAGACCAAGAGGCTGGCAGTGAGAACACATACTGGTTTCAGATTTAACAGTAAAAAAAAAAGTAACACACGCTTTGATTTTACGTATCGATTACAAGTTGAAACCAGGACATCTCAGATGCATACAGTTAATTAACGTGGACTGCTAAAAGTATGCTTACCTACTTCTTCAGTTTTGAAAAAGTCTAAAATCATAAGGGTGGCTGTCCACCCACGTGCAGCACTGGAATGGTAGGCGCCAACGCAGCAGGCAGGGGGCAGGATCCACGGCACCCTGTCCATCTGCGCACAGAGCCACAATGATGGGGGCTAACCTCACAGGGAGGGGACAGGGTCTGCAGCACCCCGTCCATCTGCACGCAGCACTGTAACGATGGGCACTAACTGCGCAGGGAGAAGGCAAGGACTGCAGCACCCTGTCGGTCTGTGCACAGAGCTGTAACAAAGGGCACTAACCCACAGGGAGGCGTACCTTGTCTGTCCGTGCACACCGCTGGAAAGACATCTTCTTCATGTCCTCACCGTGGCTCTCAGGGATGCAGCCCGACTGGACGAGGGCAGATACCAGGTCGTCCTCAATTGTCCTGAACTGTGAGGAGCCGACGTTCCTCTGAAAGCAGAAGGGTCGTCTGCTTTCTCTCTGTTCCATCCCAATGCCCCTCAGCTCCCCAGGCCTCCATGTCCAGAGCAGGAGCAGAGGCCTGCGCACACACCTGAAGGCAGGGACCTCAGGCAACATCACAAAGGGGGCTTCTCTCTCTCCCCGTGACATGGGGCCTGGAACTGCCAGTGCCTGAGGCTGAACCACAGCTCAGAAACCCCCACATGACAGCCAGGGGAGGACAGGGCAGGTACTTCCAGACCCCTCCTCATCTGAAGGCAGCCCCCACATTGGCTGCACCAGGCAGGTCCCCGTGTGGTAGCCTCAGAGACAAGGCAGGTTTAAAGAGGCCTAAAGGACGCTGAACAAGAACCAAGAGCTGACTGCATGAGGGGCCAACAGGACAGTCTGTCTACACAGGACCAAACTGGGGGTGACCGTGGGCCTGGGAGGATTCCAAAGGGGTCCTGCTGCGATAGACCTCACTCCCTTCGCTTCTAACACAGCTGTGTCGCCTCTGCAGATACATAAAGGACAAGTGGTGCTTTCCCTCCTGAGCACCACCACCAGTGTGTGTCACCTGGTGCCCGTCAGGCCTCTAAGGTGGGCACTTGGATCAACTCAGCTGACCCCAGAGGCTGGGGGTCTGAGTCCACCCAGAGGCCCTCTGACCAAGCAGCCATCGAAAACCCGACACCACAGATGTCTTCAGACACACACAGGGGCACTGTGAGTCAGCAGCATTTCGCAGTAAGGGGTGGTGGTGATGCCCATCCCAAGGAGAGGAAACGGGCACAGGCTGACTCAGTCCCTTGTCCAAGGTCACTGGCAGACCTCTGAGCCCGGCTGTGAGCTGTCTTATGTTGAGGGGCTCTGAGGGACAACTTTGAACGGCTGCCGGTTCTGCAGATGTCCCTGTCAGGCTCCCTCCTGGCCACACCCTGCTCACCTGCATGCCATGGTAGCCCTTCCCCGAGTAGGCCAGGAGCAGCACCACCTTCCGCTTGGGCAGCTTTCGGGGCTGCCCGTCGTCCTCGCCGCTCTTAAGCTTCTTGGTCTTTTGCTCAGATTCCTCCCAGACCCTGGCTCTGCCCTGCCAGCTCCGGGCCTTCCTGTCCTGCTCCTCGTTGGCCCCCGCGGGGACGGGGGTCTTCACGCTCTGGGCCATGGGGCTGCAAGGACAGGGGGAGGGTGTGAGCGAGGACACGGCAGCACCCAGCCAGGACGGTGGTGGCGCTGGGGACCGGGGACGGCTGCAGGTAGCAGGGGAGGCCGATCGCAGCCCAGCAGTCCCTGGGGCCCCCGCAGAGCGGCAGCGCGGGCCTCGGCTGCCCGCCTGGTAGACACGAGCACGCAGGGTTCACCCCCGCAGCTGTCAGAGAACCGGGGGGCTGGCGTGCGTGTCAGGGGCTGGGCACTGCGCCCGCATGCATTGCGCGCCACGGGGTCCCCACACGCGGGCATCGGTACCAGAGGCGGCGCGGTCCCAGGCGCAGGCTCCGGGTCCCGCAGGCTCTCCACAGGGCCGCGACCACCACCCGCAGACGAGGGACGCCCATGCGCCGGCGGGGGGCGCGGGGACGCGCCCGACCCCTGACCTCTCCGGGCCCGACGCCACAGCCCCGCCCTTCCCCAACTTGGACCACCTGCTGAGGCCCTCCGCCCTCGGCGTCCCCGGGGCGCTCACAGTGTCCCCAGCGAACGCACGCCAGCCCCCTGACCCCGGCGCTGACCTCCCACGGCCCCGCCTCCTCCTCGCCTCCACCCCACCGCCCAACCGGGCTGGCTTTCTCGCGGGAGTACCGACACCCCGGGAGCCCCGTCGGGACGAGGAGAGCACGCCCCGCGCGGCCCCACTCACGACGCTGCGTACTGAACCGAAGCCGGACCACGTGGGCGAAGGCGGAAGTAGAGCTGGCGCGGGACGGCGGCCGAGCGAGGACAGAAGTCCTGTAGCTGGCGAAGGGGCGGGACCCCGCTCTCGGCAGACGCTGGCGGCACCGAGGCCCTGCGAGACTGGCTCGGGCGGGGCCGGGAGGGCTGCGAGAGTGGTTCGGGCGGGGCTCTGCTCGCGGCCACAAGCACCAAGGTTCTCAGAGGATTGTGGCCTGAAGGTGTGGGGTTGGGGCGGGCATAGCTTGCCTGGGCGTGGTTTAGGCGGGTGGGCGGGGCTTTCTTCAGCACGGACTCGCGGCCAAGTGGGGTGGGGATTGAGGGGGCGTGGTTTGCGCGGGGTAGGCCGGGGCTCTTGCAGCATCCTGGAACCTCATTGTAACATCTGAGGCTGTGAATGCACCTATGCAGAAGTTCTGCAGCTCGCGGGATGGCTCATCCGCCCTCTGCAGCCTAGGGAGGAGCACCGACCCCTTCGTGTATCCCCACGGCCCGTCTGACCCTCTGCTTCCGTCTTGTGAGAACACTGTGATGATATTGGGTGCACTCAGTCCAGGCTCGTCTTGCCACCTCCAGATCCTTAATGGAATCCCATTGGCAGAGCCTCTTTTGCCCTGTGGAGTCACATGCTTGCAGGCTCCAGGAACTAGGGTGTCGACAGCTTGGCGGCCATTATTCCAGAGGTTTAAGTCCAGTGAGGGAGTGAGTTTTGCAGAGGTCCGGGGTAGGGATGAACATTCCTGGGGCAATGAGTGCATTGGCCTTGAGGCAGAAGGGTCCCTGCAGTCCCACGGGGCAGGAGTCCACCGGACCAGGGGGACATGCTACCTGAAGTCTGCAGAGATAAACCCCAAGGAAAGCAGGCAGCAAGGGAGGGCGAGTAGGAAGAAATGGCAGCCTGGACATTCCAGTGCCACAATGGTTGTAGCCCTAGTTTTGGCCTCTATTTTATGGTTAAGGCATTCAGCTGCTAGCCAAAAGGTCAGTGGTTCGAACACACCAGCCACTCAGGAGAAAGGTGAGGCAGTCTGCTTCTGCAAAGATTTCCACCTTTGGAAATCCTATAGGGCAGTTCTACTCTGACTCTGTCCTATAGAGTCGCTGTCTTGGCATTGATTCAATGGCAGTGGCTTTTGGTTTCAGATTTTAAAAACCAAAGGAATCTCTCTTGCCCTCCCACCCTCTGGTGGGCAGCACCCATGGGTGCCAAGCCTGCAGCCCCCCCTCTCACTGCATGTGGCCCCAGGGACAGACAGCAGCTCTGAGCACATCTTTGTACCTAGTCAACGGGGCTCCACTTTTTCCGGTGTGAAGAGAAACACTCGGTGTTGATGGTGGAACAGGCCCTCAGGGCCACAAACTTCCACGGACATTCCCTTCCGCTTCCTCTAAGATGTCACTGCTCTGTGGACTTCGGCTGCTCAAACTGCACAAAGTGCTTTTTTTTGAGTAATTCAATCAGTTTAACTTATGAAAATACAGTTTAAAAAATGCAATCCCTACGACTCAGTCACACACAGTGAAGAAAAGCGGGCACAGGACCTTAAGACATTTCTCCAAAGAGCAACAAACGACGTGTGAAAAGGTATCTGGCGTCATTAGCTATGGAGAGATGCCACTTCACCCCACGAGCATGCCTATCACCCAAAAGAAGAAAACAGAAAATAACAAGTGTTGGTGAGGCCAGGGAGAAACTCGAACGGATAGCAGCGCTGGTGAGAGTGAACACGTGCTGCTGTGGCGGCCTGGTGGCCGGCCCCAAGGAAGCTACATTCTACCCCCCGTTGCTGTAGATCCAGACCTGAAAGCCGGAGTGTCCACAGTGGCCCCAGGCCCCTCCGCACTCAGCGTGTGCGCCTCTCTGCTGGGATAGGGGTAGGGGCAGGCAGGGCTCAGGAGTGACCCCACCCCGTACACACGGGGAAGTGCTGCAGGAAGGAAGTGGCCCAGGCCGACCTAGTGGGGGCAGCGCATCAGACGGGAAGGGAAGAGAGACGGATGCTGGAGGTCAGCAGCCATCGACCACACGCTGGCAACACCAAGTCAACAATTGCAAAGGTTTATTTCCGTCAACAGGTATGACACAATTTAAAGCAAAAGAGGAAAAACACACAACGTCTGTGTTCAAGAGACCGGGACCCGAGAGCACACGGGCCGCGCGGCCGAGGCGCCGGCCAAGCACACGGCTGTAATAAATACACGTCCTCAGACGCTCTTCTCTGTAAACACACCACATGCAGCTGGGCAGTCGCCAGCCCGGGGGCAGAGGCAAGTCAGGCTTCCCTTCTAGGCTGAGCACAGCAGCACCATTTCAAGTATTGGAAAGAAAAGAGAGATGTGTCTACAGGTACACTCTGCACATCAGGGTGCAGCCTTCGCACCCAGGGCTGTGGGAGCCAGGGGACTCAGGCAGAGCTGAGCAGTCAGGCCAGGAGGCCCTGACCCTGGATGGCAAGCCTTCCCGCACCAGGGTCCCGGCTCCAGAGCAAAGCCCAGCCAGAGGGACGGGCTCCTTGCGCATTGACACCTGCTGTCAGAAGTGGACTGGGAAGCTTGTGGGTTCTCTCCCGGTGCACAGACCTACAACCTCCCCTGCTGCTGCATTCATTCAAGCAGGGCAGGGCTACTAAGCAGGTGGGGCTGGGGGAACAGATGCATCCAACACCTGACGGCCAAGCAGCAGAGCCCCTGGCCCTGTCCTGCCCCCACCCACCCCAAACAAAGGTTCCTGAGCACCCACACATTTCTTCTTAAAAAATTAAAAAGAAACAAAAGAGCTGCAGGAACACTCAACAGGCTTTAAACTGACACGTGAGAGGTGGCGATGCCCGTCCTCGGCTTAGAGCACGGTGCTGCCTACTGTCTGTCCTCAAAGAACAAGGGATAACGTGGCTGAATAGTTCCTCTGGAAAGAGACAGCTCCACACTGGCGGCCTGGTGACGAGTCCCAAACACAGCACAGCCGCACACGCACGTGGGCACGCACACGGACTATCTATATATGTACGTATGTATATGGTATGTACACACACTGTAGTGCAACGCCGGGAACGAGGGCCGCGCCTGAACGGTCCCTTTTGTCCCCAGCCTCTATCTGCATAAAGTGCTTGTGGATTACAAAGCTGGTGGGTGGGCTCAGAGGTCCCAGGAGTGGAGCCGGGGCGGCCTGCCAGGAGCCAGGACGGCAGCTTTGGCTTCAAGTCGGCAGCGATGCCTCCCAGCCTCGCTGGACCTTGCTCAGTTGCAGGCAGGCCTGCCCTGGGTTCTTGCCCTGCCCTAGCACCAGCTCTCCCCACGGATGCAGGGCAGGTGCTAGATGGGCGGGACATGCCTGTGCCCACTGTGGACACCAGGAGCAGTTCTGAGACTCTGGGTAGGAGCTCCACAGCCCAGTGGAAAGTCTGGGCCTGCCTTCCCCAGCACCCCACAGTCACTGCCAGTCAGGACCTAGCTGTAGTATGACCCTCAATGGCAGGTGGGGGCCAGCGGCCCTACGTGTGTCCAGTCCGCAGGTCCAGGTCCTCTACCCAGAGCCCTGTAGTGAAGGGCCACAGGCTTGTCCACACCAGTCTGGCCCTTAGCCCTGAGCGTGGGGCCCAGGGTCAGGCACAGAGGCCGCTCAGCAGGGCCGAGAGTCTCCGTTCGATGCACAGCTTGCCTGCAAAAGGCACAGCGTGAGGGGCGTCCTCGTGGGGCTGGGGCTGTCCAGTGGTTCCATGCCCCCACCCTGGGACCCTACCCAGCACACTCACACTTGGCGATGTTCTCCACATCCGTCTGGTCCGTGAGGATCTGCTGCAGCCCCTCCATGAGAAGCAAGGCCTTGTGGTAGCGTTGCACACAGTCCTCCCGGTGGTGAAACATCTCATCCAGAGCGGCTGACTGCACCTGCACGGGAAAGATTCAGTCCCGCCCCGCCGTACCCAGCAGGGCCTGCCCCCCCACCTGCCCGCCCTGCTGCCCTGGCCGCGCCCCCTCCACCAGCTGCTGCGGGTCCGCCTGCCCAGCCCCACCCCGTCAGCGAGCTCGCCCGCACGCACTGTCTGCACAGCGTGGCTGAAAATGAGCCTCTCGGCCGTGATGCTATGCACACGGTCCATGAGCCGCTGCTTGTCCAGGAAGAAGCGCTGCAGCCGTAGGCTCAGGCTCTGGCAGGCCCCCACGCTGGACTTGTACAGCTCGTTCAGCTTCCGCACCACTGTGGGGGCAGCAGGCACAGCACACAGGGCTGGGGGCCGCGGCAGGGAGGGAGCCGGGGCCGCCCAGGGCAGCAGGCGCCTCCTCCCACACAGGCCAGGACCCACAGGCTCAGCACCAGCGTGAGCACGGCGCTCACCAGCAGAGCCTCCACCCACCCAGTGTGTCTGCGGTGCAGATGCACCCACACAGGGAGTAGACCCCACGTGCCCCCATGAGCACCTCAGAGCAGCACCCAGGCAAACCATGCCCCACAGACCTGGCTCCCAAAACCCACCTGTGCCCTCCTCCCCAGGAGCCCTACCTTGGGCCACAACACCCACCTTCCGGGTGTCCTCTGCTGGCTACCCACCCCCTTGGCAGACGTACGTAACGTGACCCCAAAGCCCACCCCATCCACGGCACTCACCCTGCTTCACGGTGGACGACAGGCAGAGCTTGCCAGCCCGGATCTGCTCGATGGCAGTCTGCAGCCCGGCCGACAGCAACTCCGCCACCTTCAGGTACAGGACCAGCTGCTCGGCGAAGCTGAGGGTGGGAGTGCGTCAGGGAGGGCCCCGGCCACCCCCAGCCCCCGAGCCCCCGGCGCACGGCTCACCTCCACTCGCGGCTCAGCAGGCTGATCTGGTCGGCCACCAGGCTCTCCTGCAGCTGATACTCGGGGCCCCCAGCCGCCTCGCCACCGCTGCCCTTGAGGGTGGCGATCTCCAGCACGTGCTGCACGAACGCCAGCGTGAAGCGTAGGCTATGCAGGGTCTCCGTGTGCTCTTGCTGGGAGAGGGGGAGTGTCAGGGCCACAGGCCCTCCCCTCGGCCAAAGGCCAGACCACCACTGCCCACTCGCGCCTCGCACTGCGCCTGCCCCGCCTCCTCACCCCACCTCCCTGCCCTCACCTCCATGAGGGTCTCCTCAGGCAGGTCAGGGGCCTCAAAGGTCACAACCCCCTCCAGGTTGGCAGCTATGGGGTCAGTGAAGCTGCAGCAGTGTCCTGGTACCGGGGGCTCGGGGGCTGCACCCTCACCGCAGGCCCCGGGCGGCAGATGGCGACCAGAGGAGGAGCCGGCCGAGCTGAGGGAGCCGGAGGAGCCTACTGTGGGAGATGCCACCGTTGAGTGGCCCCTGGGACAGCAGGCCGGACCACAGACGGAGGGGTCACAGACCCAGGACCCCAGAGCTCCTCCCCCTGCACCCAGCCCACCTGGCCTCCCAGGGCCCAGCCATGCCCAGCATGAAGGCTGGGGGCGGGGGAAGCACCCCGAGAGCCAAGACCCTAGAAGCCCCTCGCCACCCCTCCCAGACCTCACCTGAGAACAGCCGGGTACGGGGGCCCTGCGGTGGTGTGGTCCCGCTAGGTGGAGAGCCCACGGTGAATGCCACAGGGGAAGGGCTGCTGGTGCCCCCAGCACGAGCTCCAGGGTGTAGGCTCCCTCCAAAGCCGGCAGAAGGTGCTGGCAGAGTGAGAGGTGGGCTGATTTCACTGGGGGCCCTATGGCCGGCACCCATGAGCCCCACCAGCCCCATGCACCCACCGATCTCCATGGGCTTCTCCTGCAGGCTGTCAGTGCTGCCCGAGTCCGGGGCCTGGGTGCCAAAGGCTGCCTTCAGAAGGAGGTCAGTGAGGCGGCCGGTGCTCAGGGACCTGCAGGGCAGACGGGTCGGGCAGGGACTGGAATGGAGGCTGCCCTCACAGCACACATTCCACTTCTGCCTCCTGCCCCTGCAGGCAGGTTCTCAGCATCCCACCAGACAGGGGACCACGGCTCAGAGTGGGTGTCACCTCAAGTCACAGACCCAGCCCTGGTCCATACCCTCTCCTTCATTCCTCTGCTCACCTGCCAAAGGGGCCCTTAGCCTCCTCGGGGGGCCGCAGCCCGGGACCCAGTGGCTGTGCCTGGAAGGGACCCCCCTCTGTGAGGTCAGGTAGCGTGCGGTTCCGGGGGGGCGCCACCACCACGCCCTGCCGGGCCAGGAGGGCCAGCAAGTTCTGCGAGCTGGGCGTCTTGGGGAAGTCAATCGAGGGGCCGGCCTGAGGGACAGGGTGGTGTGAGGGCCACAGCCTGCAGCTCCCCCACATCAGGGCCTAGGGGCGACCCCCCTTCCTGATGCCACAGAACCCAAGACTTAACAGGGGTCAGTGGGTCTACGAGGCCAAGCACGTTGCTTTGTTTTTAAAAGGTTTAAAAGAGAAAAAGGCGTCAGAGACCCCGTGGCACTACCCTCAAGTGCAAACTCCCGAGCCCCTCACAGAACATGTCTGCAAACTCGTCTACGGAACCGTCCACTCGGTGTGGGTCACTGTTCACCACGATGCCGCACAATAGACCCTCAGACAATGCTCTCAGACAAGCACTACTTGGGGCCTGTTTTACAGGTAGGGAGACCGAGGAGGAGGGAAGTTCCACGCCTGGCAGGATTCGGGGCTCTCCCAGGCCACCTCTCGCTACTTTCAGAACCTGAATCAGCAGACTTTCTGCAAAGGGCCAGAGAGAGTATTCTTGGCTATCGACTCGGCTCTGCCCCAGGAAAGCAGCAGACAAGGCCAGAAAGGCACTGGGGCTTGAGGGTCGTGCTCACAGCCGGGCTGGTCAGCAGCAATGGAGGGGCGGTGGGCCTGGCCCCATCCTCGCAGCCCTGTGGCCGGGGGCCACTAAAGGGATTTAGACCAAATCTGAGGGAACCTCAGCCTGCCGCTGGGTCTCTGGGAAGCCGTGGCCCGTACAGGCCTCCCCTGTGGATATGGACCAAACAAATGGCTGCAGGTGGCTGGTGGGGGCCCAGACACATAGAGGGGCCTCGGTGCAGACCAAACCCCCAAGTGCCTCCCAGTACCCTGGCTCAGAGTGGAGCAGGCACCAGAGTGCCACAGCCCTCACCTTGGTGGGGGAGCCCAGGATAGGGGGCAGGGGGGTCCGCTGCAGGAAGTCAGGTAGCTTGGGTGAGCTGCGTAGGGGCCGGCAGGCCGGCAGTGGGGGACTGGCCTGGGGGATGCCAAATGCAGTCCCCAGTGGATCCGTGGGGGGCTTGGGCAGCTTGGGACGCACGACGTGCAGGTCCGAGAGGTTAGGAGCGCTGTGCAGGCGGCAACCCAGCCCAGTGGCACGGGGCGAGTGCTCAGGCACGGAGGAGCCTGGGGGCGAGGGGTGGCTCGCGTCACCCTCCACACCCTGGAAGCCCCACGGTACCCTGGGCCCGAGGACCAGTCAGAGAGACTCAGACACCCACCCAGGCACAACACCCGCCCAGGCACAGCAGTGGAGGGGACAGTGCCAGGGGACCAGCCCCGTCACCTTGTCGCTGGACTTTATGGCTTATCCTCACTGGGCTGAGATGCCCGCACTGAGGCCAGCCTCCCTCACTCACGCCACCTCAGTGGGCCCACCCACCTGGCCGCGGGAACTTGCCACCCCGCATCTCGGCTCCTTGTGGGGAGGGTGTCCCGCTCACACCCGACCTCTCGGGGATGGTTCCAACTTTGAAAAAAGAAAAGTGGGGTCCAGAGGTCAGCGCCCACAGAGACACCATCCCCCTCCACGTTCCCTCCTTCCCAGCCCCAGGGAAGCACATCCAGGGGTCTGGCCTCACCTTGGGGCGAGGGTGTGTAGGGCCGGGCCCCGCCCAGGGAGAACTTCCTGGCCAAGGCGGCTCCGTGCTCAGCATGAGATGGGGGTGAGGGGCTGGCGCGGGCGAAGCCCAAGGGGCTGGTGCTGCCCGACCTGCGGACAGCAGTGGACCTGCAAACAGGCAGGTGGTGAGGTCTGTCCAAGCCTGGCCGTAGGACCTCAGCACCCCTACCTTCACACCTGTCTGTCTGCCCATGCTGTGAGCTCCCCGCACTTGACTGCCGCCCCAGAACACCATCCCCATCAGAGGAACCCCTGGCCACACTCACCGGGGTGCTGCATACGGGGCAGGTGACTGCAGGTTCTGCTCGATTCGCTGGTAGTTGTGCACCTGCGTGGGGACCGGGATGGGGACGGACACACCGTACCTGCTGGTAGAGGGGCCGGCCCGGCTGAGGGGAGAGGATATGGTCATGGGAGCAGGTGTCAGGCAGTCCACCCCCCAAAGCTTCGGGCTGGGTCAGGCGACTGCCAAGAAGACAGCCAGGTCTCCGGCAGGGACTCCAACTGGCCCTGAGACGATACCGCAAACCCCCACGCCAGCAAACGTGACAGTGGAGGAAGCCGCCCAAACACAGCTCCGTGGCGAGCCCATCACCAGCCAGGGACCCGTCCACGGCACGAGACCCACTCACCTGGAGGGGCTGGGGGAGCTGCTGTAAGGAGGGGATGGGGATGGGGTCCGGCCATGGCTCTCCAGACCAGCAGAAGCTGCCAGCGAGCTCCTGGTGGGCACAGAGGGGAAAGGGCTGTGCATACTCAGGCCAAAGGTGGCAGAGACCTGGATACTCTCCACCTCTTCCCAGAGCACAGCCAGGCGCTGAGGCCAGGAGCACGGGCAGGAATGGAGCCGAGATGGGCCCCGTGTGACGCAGCTCTGGTCCTTCCCAGTTGGGGAAGTGCAGCCCCTCCACCTCCCGGGGGCAGAGAAGGACAGGGTGGGAATGGAGACAGGCTTACCCACTGCACAGGAGGCTGTCTGGAGGGGGCTTGGCACCGGCCACCTCAGCCCCCAGGTCACCTGTGGGTGAAGACATGGTGAGAGAGAGCCAGGAGTGCCCTCAGGAGATCCACCCACAGGGCAGGCACATGTTCTTTTCACCTGGGACCCACCCCCACAGCACCCTCTGGTCCCCACACCTGGGAACTGGGCTGGGACCATGACAAAGTCATCGGTGTCACAGGAGGAGTCCTTGCTGCTGCCACCCGAGTCCCTGGAGCCTTGCAGGAAGGCGGCAGCGGCGGCAGCCGGAGAGGTCAGCGTCTTCTGCAGCTGGTGCATGTCCCCGAGGGACTGGATGGGGGACAGCAGTGCTGGCCAAGAGGGACAGCAGACACAAGCCCCCCAGTCACCCCCCTTTCTGCTCCCATGTATGACACATGAGGACCAGGCCAGGATCTGGAGCCACCGGGGAGCTCGCTGCCCATCACCCAGGGTGGAGGAGACACCGCAGGGCCCCAAGCCACAGAGACCCCACCTTGGGGCGGGCAACTCACCGGTGGGGAGGCCAGGTGCGAGGTGCTACCGCTGCTGGAGCTGCTGCCGGAGCCAGAGCTGGGGCACGAGGGCACAGGCACCGGAGGGGCTGGCGGGCGAGAGCGGGACCTCGTCCTGCCGTGCAGAGGCACCGGGGGCCTGGGAAGCACCCCGGCCGGGCCTGTGCACTCCCCCGGCAAGGGGCCTGTGAGCTCGGCTGCAGAGACCAGCAGCTAACGCCAGGCCGCCCCTGCTAAGCCTGCAGCAGCCCCATCCACTGGGGTCTTAGGGACTCCTGGGGGCTACAGCCCTGAGCGAAGTCACTTCCGGTCAGACGAGGGCCCAATGCCCTGACCTCCGTGGATGGGGTGGCAGCCCAAGGCCCCAAACCACTTCCTGCCCCCCTGGCCCTTCACTGCAGCCCAGGGCCCAGAACTCACACTTCTTGATGGAGGAGCTGGCATCAAGGAACGGGTGATGGAAAAATTCATCTGCAGGAGAAGGGGGCTCAGGGCAGTGCTGGGGCGTTGGGTCCCCATTTCCCATCCCAGCCCCCTGCCCGATGTCTCTGAGGGACGTGGCTCCCTCTGCAAAGCTGGGCTTCCCAGCCTGCCCGCCTGCAGGTACCACCCAGCTCAGAGGCAGCCACAGAGGGGCACAGGAGACTGGACACAGCTCAAAGGGTGTAGGAAGTGCCGGGCGCAGCTGGCTGGCCCCGCCCCCAGGGCCTTCATTGGGGGAGGGGAGGGAGAGTGGGCAGGGCAGGGGCTCACCAAAGTCCATCCGATCCTTGTGGTTCCGCTGCAGCAGCGCCAGGAGCAGCTGCCTCAGAGGGGCTGAGGTCTCCCGGGGGATGCTGGGGAGACAAGGCAGGATGAGCCCGCAGGCTCTGGGGAGGGGCCCGCAGCCTGCCCAGGGAGGGTGCTCACTCACGTGGGGACCAGCGTCTTGTTCTTCTCATAGAACAGGCGGAGGTCTTGGGGGCTGCTGGCCTGCAAGACAGAGGGTGCTCAATGCTGGCGGGGCCGGGGCCGCCTCCCACTCTGCTCCCGTCCTCCTCCAAAGCCCTTCAGTCTCCGGTCTCACAGCCTCAGCCGGCCCCAGGCCCACAATGCCCGCTTCTCCACAAAGGCCCAGGACACAATGGCTCCTGTGCTAACTGTAGGCGCTTCGCCTAGGGAAGGCAAGGATGGGCTCTGCACATGGTGGGACCCCAGACCCAGAGCAGGGCAGGCGGGGGAGCCCTGCTCCTGTGGAAAGGGCAGGGCTGACCCGTTCGGAGATGTCTGCTCTCTCCTCGATGGTACAAAGGAGCCCATCCACCCACCACAGGAAGGGGCTTGAGAATGCTCTCTGGTGGGCACCAGACCTGGGCCTCAGCACTGAGCTCCCTGCCCACGGCCCGGCCCCTGGGCGTGCACCTGGAAGGGCGCCTTCCCCGTCAGGCACTGGTAAATGATGGTGCCTATGCTCCACAGGTCTGCCTTCCCGTCGTAATGCTGGGACATGATGACCTCGGGGGCCTGCGGGGGCACAGCAGGGCCTCAGTGCCCAGGCACTGCCGATCCCAACTGGGCAGCCAGCACCCACCTGCCACAGGCCCCCTGGGGACGCACCATGTACATGGGGGAGCCACAGAGTGTTGCTGCCATCATGTTACTCTGCAGGTAGCGTGCAAACCCGAAGTCAGCTGTGAAGACAGAGACACACTCAGGGGTCACAGTCGGGGGGGACCCTAGGCCCACAAGCTGGTGTCGTCCCGTCCCTCCTCCAGGCGCGCAGGCCCCGCCCCCTGGCAGCATGGCCCCACCCCGGCAGCGCAGGCCCCTCACCGATCTTGACGCGGATGTTGTTGGGGTTGGCGCGGCGCCCGCCGGGGTTGGACAACAGGATGTTCTGGGGCTTAAGGTCGCGGTGGATGATGCCCTTGCTGTGCAGCAGCTGCATGGCGCCCGCGATCTGCTGCAGGAAGAGCCGGATGGTGTCCTCACTGAGTGTACGCATGGCTGCGGGGAGACACGGCTCAGCGGGGCGGGCCACCACCCGCCAAGCCCCCTTCCCAGCAGCCCCACTGCCCCAGGCCCTCCACCCCCTCCGCCTCCACCTGTCCTCCGCTCCACCCTGGGCTGTGTCCAGGGGGGGCCGTCTGTTACAGAGCCCAGGGCACGGGGGTGGGGGGTGGGGGGTGTCTCCAGGAGGCCACTCTGCCCAAAGACCCCACAGTCCACCTAAAGGTCCTGGGGGACGTGTGGGGACTCTGGGCAGCACATCCCGAGGCTGCCTGCTGCTCAGGTTCATGTGAGACAACCGAAGGGGGGAGCAGACGGTCAAACACACAGACACACACCCACGTACAATGCAGTATCACACACACAAGCCACACAGGCACACACCCACGTACAATACAGTACAATACACTGTATCACACACACAGGGGCTCACGTGCACTGACAGTTACACACATTCCCCAGATGCCCAGTCACACACACACAGTCCTGCAGACGCTCAATCACACACAGTCACACAAGCCACACAGGCACACACCCACGTACAATACAGTACAATACACTGTATCACACACACAGAGGCTCACGCGCACTGACAGTTACACACATTCCACAGATGCCCAGTCACACACACACAGTCCTGCAGATGCTCATTCACACACAGTTACACATTCACACACAGGCTTACACAGTCACACAAGCCACACAGGCACACACCCACGAACAATGCAGTATCACACACACAGAGGCTCATGCACACTGACAGTCACACACACTCCGACAGATGCTCACAGTCACACACATACAGTCCTGAAGACGCTCAGTCACACACAGTCACACAAGCCACACAGGCACACACCCACGAACAATGCAGTATCACACACACAGAGGCTCATGCACACTGACAGTCACACACACTCCGACAGATGCTCACAGTCACACACATACAGTCCTGAAGACGCTCAGTCACACACAGTCACACAAGCCACACAGGCACACACATACATACAATGCAGTATCACACACACAGAGGCTCACGCACACTGAGAGTCACACACTCTGACAGATGCTCACAGTCACACACATACAGTCCTGCAGACGCTCATTCACACACAGTCACACAAGCCACACAGGCAAACACACATGTACAATGCAGTATCACACACACAGAGGCTCACGCACTGACAGTCACACACACTCTGACAGATGCTCACAGCCACACACATACAGTCCTGAAGACGCTCAGTCACACCATCACACATTCACACACAGGCTCACACACACACCCACGCACAGTGCAATATCACACACACAGAGGCTCACACGCACTGACAGTCACACACAGTCACACATGTTCACAGTCACACACACACAGTCCTGCAAACACTCAGTCACACAGTCACACATTCACACACATGCTCACACAGGCACACACCCATGTACAATGCAGTATCACATACAGGCTCACATGCACTGACACACAGTCATACATGCAGTCCCATAGATGCTGTCACACACAGTCACACACTCAGATGCTCACACAGGCACACAACCACATACAATGCAGTATCACACACACAGAGGCTCACACACACTGACACAGTCATAGTCAGACACTCATAGTCACATTCACAGTCACACATAGATGCTCACATGCACTGGCAGTCACACTCAGTCACACATTCACACAGATGCTTAAAGTCACACACTCAAGTCAGTCACACTCAGTCACACATTCACACTCAGTCACAGTTACACACTCAGTCACACACACAGATGCTCAGTCACACTCCCCATGCAGACACACCCTCACCCACAGTCACACACACACCAGTCACCCTTAGTCTCTCTAACCACTCACACACATTCACCCCACACTAAGCAGCCCGTGTCATTAATCTCACATAGAGGCCCCTCTATACACACTCTTAGGAGACACAAGCCCCCTGATCCCCCACCCTCCCTCAGTGAACTCAGGGACAGAGAGACATGTCCCACCAGACAGTCTGTAAAGACCGCCCCCACCCACTGACAGGCCTCAGAGGTGAATGTAGCACTCCACACACCCAGACCAAGACCCCAAGCCCACCAGACAGGCAGACCCACCCCCACACACATCCCTCAACTAGGCTGTGGGCCATGTGAGATCACCTCCACACCCCCCAACTTCCAGATCCCATGCCCAGAGATGCCCACCAGCCCACAGCCCACAGCCAGACACAGTCCACATCCTGGGCAGTTCTCCCTCTCTGAACAGATGAGGCCCAAGGGGAAGGTGGCTTGGGACCGAGTCAACACCTATGGAACCTGGCAAGTGCTGGTTAGCCAGAGCCACCAGACAGGATACCCAGCCATACAGGTGATGGTACCCACAGGCAGTGAGGCGGCCGCAAGGGAGGGCTTGTAGGTGGGCTCGGTATCCCACGTGACCACATGTGGGAGAGGGAGGCCTCCAAGGGAAAGGCTGTCCCCGCCACGGGGATGCAGCAGCCAGGGCATCCACCCCGCCCTGGGACCCCAGCCACGCACCTCTGGCCAGGACCGGGCACCCATCAACCAGAGTTCCTGACACCCAACCAGCCCCAGCAGCTTCCTTTCTATCGTCCAGCTGCTCAGGACCCGAACCCTGGACCGTCCTGGCCTGGCGAGCGCCTGTGTATGTAGGTGCATGCCTCCCGCCACCCCCAACCCTCCAGCAGCACATCCCACACAAGCACCCGCTGGGCATCGTCCTCCAAGCTGGGCTCTGCCCAGTCACCGTTCCCGTGTCTGAACCTTCCCTGCCCAACAGTACCCCTGCCCTCCAACCCAGGATGTATCTACTCCCCATAGTCACCATGTCTTCCTTGGTATCTATGCCTGGACCATGGGCCCTGAGGCAAAGACTGTGTCCCCACCCAGGCTGTGTCCCCAAGCACTCAATGGCTAAGGAAGGTATAGGGCTGAAATGGCCTCATCCATCCCATGCCCTCAGGAGACACCCAGGCCACTCCAGCCATGGTCCACTCACTGTGCAGGTAGTCAGCCAGGTCCCCGCCATTGCAGTACTACGGAAGAACACACAACTGTGGGCAGTCGTCCTCTCATGCCGCCAAGCCCCACCGCCCACCCCTGGGGCCCTGGCCCCTCACCGACCCCTGGGGGCTGTCCCTGCAAGCCAGCAGAGGGAGAGCATCCTGCTTGGTCTCTGGTTCCCAGCAGGACGGCCTCAGCCCAGAGACACGTGGTGACAGGAGGGTTCCTACTATCCCCCTCCCCAGCACGGCCTGTTCGCGGCTCCTGCCCCTCCCTAGTATGTCCTGGTGTCTCCTCCTGCCCCTCCCCAGTATATCCTGGCCCCAGGGGAGGCCTGACTTCCTGTCCTCACAGAGGGTACTCACCTCCATGACCAGGTACACAGAATTGGCCATTTCCTGGAAGCAAGAAGAGGAAGTGAGGGGCACGGGGCACAGCAGGCCCAGGTCACAAAGCCTGGGCAAGAAGCACCATGTCTGCCCCCCATGACCCCCACCCATGTGATACACAAACCTGTCACAGGCACCCCCAAGACACATCTTCCCCTTTTGGGCACGGTCCTCTCAGGAAAACATCTTTCCCGAGGCTGGGAACCCCACAGCCTCTAGTTCCAGCCGCCCAGGCTACCCCAGCAGTTCACACAGGGGCCACCCCTCCACCCACACCTGGAGATGCACACAGCCCTCAGGCCCCAGGGATGCTGTCTGTCTGTCTGTCAGACCTATGCTGCTGAAGACAGCGGCAGGCTGAGGGGTGAGGTGTGCTCCCAGAGTCGGCTAAAGGGCCAATACTCTGGAACCCTTCGGTATGGGCTGGGCACAGGGCCTGACTGGGGACCCTGGGGAAGGCAGGGGCTGGGTGCTCCCACCAAGGAGGCCCTGCGGGTCCTCTCTCCACTCCCCAATGCCCATTGCTGGTGCCCAGTCCCGGAGCCCACAGAGGCTGGTGCCCAGGGGAAGTAGCCACGAGTCCTGTCCCAGGTAAGAGTGTGCCTGGGAGCCAGCGCCCAGCCTGCTCCCACCCCAGCCTTCCAGGCCCAAGTTGGCAGGCGGGTGGCGGCAGGTGGGTGGTGGCAGGCGGGCGGTGGCAGGCAGGCGGTGGCAGGCAGGCAGCCAGCTGCAGAACCAGGTAGCGAGGGGCAGGTTTGGGCCGTGCTCCCAGAGTCCCCAGCACAGTGGGCCACAAGTGCGCCTGAGATGCAGGGACAGGCAAAGAGCCAGCACCTGGGGGTAGAGGGGAAAGCAGAGGGTAGAAGGGGACACGGGGGGCGACCCAGACAGGGCAAGAGCCAGCTGGAGGGAAGCAGACCTCCACAGGCAGAGCCCTGGAGGAGACTAAGAGCCAGACGCAGACTGGAGGGGAGGGGAGGGGAGGGAAGCAGACCTCCACAGGCAGAGCCCTAGAGGAGACTAAGAGCCAGATGCAGACTGGAGGGGAGGGGAGGGGAGGGAGGGGAGCGAAGCAGGACCCAGAAATGGCCAAGAAGACCGCAAACCCCCCCTCCTGCCGGCGACAGAGGACCCGGCTCCAGGACCAGTGTCCTCAGCTGGAGCCACTCCAGCTGACAGACAAGACTATGGGCACCTCCTCAAAAGCCCCTGTTCACACAGCCATCGAGCAACAGGGCTGGCCCAAGAGCTGCCAGCTCCAAGCCCTGACCCCACAGTGGCCTGGCTCCCAGAAGCAACTCCCCACAACCCCACACTTGTCACCAGGGCCAGGAGTTGCAAGGACAGACAAAGGGATGAGGACAGAGGCAGCCCAAAGAGGGCAGATGGAGACAGATACAGCCGTGGGGGCACCCAGCGCCCATCCCCCCCTGCAAGGCACCCCAGGTGTGGAGGGAAGTCTCCAAGCCCTGTCCATGGCCCACAAACCCAAGGGAAGGAGTAATCCACAGAGCAGCCCCCGGGCAGCAGTGATACCTGGACACTTGTGGGCCCTGGGCCTGCCCCCCGCCATCTAGAGCTGCTCACTGCAACCAACCTGTGGCCAGCACCCCCGGGTCACCCCTGGGCACCCTCCAACTAGCGCTGCCCACCACAGCCAACCCCACATCCAGGACATCCCAGGCTCAGCCCCACCCACCCACTGCCGTGCCCTAGCCTCTCCCTCAACTCCCGCGGCTCTCTTCACCCCCAGAGCCCCCGACTCCTGGGGCCTCTTGTCCCACAGGGAAGCCTTGCTCATCCTCCACTGGTGAGCCAAGGGCTGGCCCAGGCACTGCCGGCAGGAACGAGTCCTGTCCCCGGCAGGGCGGCCTAGCACCAGCCTCCTCCTCAGCAGGCCCTCTCGAGGACAGAAGCAGAAGGGTCTTCAGGAAAAGAAAGAGGAAAGAGCTCAAGGGGCTGAGGATGCCCGCCGCCCACGAGACATCCAGGCCTTGGGACCATGGGCCACCCCCTTCCTGAACTGAGAACCAGCGGGCTGGGCTGCCTGCTCTGCCATCGGCGTTCCAACTGCCACCCCATGCACTGGGACAGCCGTGGGCCGCAGCTGCACACCGAGAGCTGCGTCCTGAGAAGCCCACCAGCCGTCAGTGTATGCTACTTCAGCCTCCCTCACACCTGGCCCACTTCAGAGCGGTCAGGAAGCACGCCTGGTGCTGGGGGCCCATGTGCTGTCTCACGGCCAGTGCCAGGCCCTAGCCACCTCAGTGCTGCCCCGGCCAGGAGGACATGGTAGGCCAGACCACAGTGCTCCCTCCAACCAGCATCTCCCAGCCCCCACCTCTCAACCCTTCCAGGGAGACCACCTGACCTACGTCCATCCCACCTGGCACCCAGGCCCTCAGCAGCACTCCCCACCCAGAGGGGCTGGGCCTGAACTCCGAGGGGCATCAGTTCCAGCTCTCCTGGGCGTGGGGACCAAGCTCAGCCAGGACGGCCCCCACCAGAAGGGACTGCACAGATGTCTGCCCAAGCCCTGCCCAGGAGACTCTCACCCCCACGCACCCACAGATGTCTGCCCAGGAGACTCTCACCCCCACACGGAGCCAGTTTTGGGGATCCACCAGAGGCATCCGGCCGTGTCCACTCTACCAGGCTCCGCGCGTCAGCAGCTGTGCCATGCAGCCTGGCACGGGCCTTTGGGCACGTACGAGGCCGCACCCACCCACCCCCAGGATCCCAGTGCCCCACCCTCTGCCAGCCCTGCCAGCTGGTGATCCTGGGCTGGGCTCCCTGACCTAATTAACTCCTTCCTGAGCCAGCCTCCTGGGCACCAGGAGGTGGCAGCCACGTCCATACTACGTGCGTGTGTGCATGCATGCATGTGACATGTCACAGCTCTTTAGTGGCTCCTTTGGGCTTAGAAAACTGTCATAACCTAGACGTGACACAAAGGACACAGCTCCCAGCTCCTCACACCACTCTCCACAACAACCCAGGCTTCTTGGACAAAGACTCCAGGGCCAGGCCAGGAACAGAGAGAAGCCTGCAGCATCTGGTGCTGGGCAGGAAGGAAGGGCCCACCCCACCAAGCCATGCTGCCATTTCCCCTGGGGGCTCCTGCCCTGTGCGTGGACCAGGGGCCTGCTGTTCCACTCCCACCCTGAGCAGGAAGGGTCTGCCCTCTCTCCTGGGAAGCCTGCTGTGTTCCAGCCGCCTGCCTTCGACAGAGGAGGCAGTGACCCTGAGCCTGGCCTTCTGTATGGCCCCTCGGAGGACCCCAGAAGGCCCGCCCTGCTCAGGGCAGGCAGCAGACAGGTGCAGAGGGGGAGGGCGAGTCAGGACCCTGGGCATCATGGATCTCCATCTTTCTCCCTCCGCCCACTGCTCCCTCTCAAAGACTCGCCCACACCTGCACCAAGACCCACACCGTGTGGTCACACAGCTCTCCCCCGCTGTCTGAATGGCGGGCAGACTCGTGAGCGCTACGGGACGAGGCGTCACACAACGGGCTACGCAAGAGTCGCGGCCAGGCTGGGGTCCCGCTACCCATGACGCAGCCCAGCCTCCAAAACACAGGGAGAGGAGACCGAACGGCTAGAGAAAAGGACCAGGAGCAAAGTCCGCCAACCTGGCAAGGGCTCCTCTAGGGAAGGCAAATGGAACGGGGGGCGGGGCATGGAGCTGGGGGGGGCCCACGCAGAGCCGGGGAGGGCTGCGCAGAGCTAGGGGGCGGGGGGGGGGGCGGCAGTTACAGGTACACCTTGGAGACGCTGCACGTTCATCTCCAGATCACCGTTTCTGGTTTCCCATACAAAAGTTATCTTCACACTCTACTGGGGTAGCCACTCCTATCCCACACTTCAGGTCTGATCACTCGTTCCATGGACCGTCACTCCAGTTCAGGATCAGAGCCCTCTACCTCCCTGACCAGTTCTGGTGGCATAGTGCCTAAGGCATCTGACTGCTAACCAGAGAGCTGGAAGTTCAAACCCACCAGCCACTCCTCGGAAAGAAGACTGGGCATTGTAGTTCTGTAGAGATACCGCCTTAGAAACTCAAGGAGGGGTTGCCATGGGTCGAATCAACTTGAGGCAGTGAGTTTGGTTTTAGTTTGGTGGCCTAAGAAGTGGACAACAGCTTTATGCTTGAAATAGTGTGTGAATGATCAACATGGGCCACAGGGAGACAAAGTGGGCACGTGCTGTTGGCACCGACAGACTTGCTGCACCCAGGCTGCCACAAACCTTCAATATGTCAAAGACACAACAGCTACAAGGGCCCAGACCACATCTGGCAGTGTGTGGTTTGTGCAATGTGGCGTTCAGTGTATTTCACAATAGAAAAAGTGAAAAAGTTAGACAAACCACACACGAAGAAACACAACTCCACAGGCAGTTTCCAGAACAGCCTGGACCCTGGGGGCCTATTCCTGGGCCCCAGACTGAGACTGGCACTAATGGTTTCAAGCTACCCACATCAGGAGACCACCCAGGTCTGGCAGGGTGTCCCCCTTCCCCTACCCTCAGTCCCAAGCGCACCAAGAGCCTGGGCCGGCCATCCTGAAAGGCTCCCCAGTGTGAGCACGGGAACAACTCCCCCAGAGTCAAGGCACCATACCTCGTAACTCACAGGCGTCCATCTGCAGGGCCTAGGGTGAGTTGCACATGGACAATCCAACAAGGTGTCCAGCCCCAGGAAACCGGACAGACAGCGTGCGGCCTCAGGAGGGGTCAGCATCGGCAAGGCCCGAGGCCATCACACCCCTTGCCTGGGCCCTCTGAGCAGGGACGCCCAAGGTCCATGCCCAGACCCATCTCCAGAGGCAGTCACTCTCCCAGGACAAGAACAAGTCCAGGCACTCCACACCACATATGGGATGAGCCCAAGACTCTGCCCACTCTACCTCTTAATGAGAAGGCCAGGCTTTGGTGTGATGACTAGGGTCTTAAAAGCCTGTTAGGGGCCATCTAGATGCAACAAGGGGTCTCTCCTTGTCCAGAGCAAAG